GAAGTTGACGAAGGTCCTGGTTTACAAAGCTGTCATGCTGACCACCCTCCTCCACTGCAGTGAAACCTGGACCATCTACTGATGCCACATTAAGACCCTTGAGAGCTTTCACCAGTGGTGCTTGCATCGAATCCTGGGGATCAAATGGGAAGACTGCTGGACCGGTCCGAGTGTCCTCCATGAAGCTGTGTCCACTAGCATTGAAGCCTTGCTCTTGAGAAATCAACTCCGATGGACGGGCCACTGTGTCCGGATGTCTGAGAACTGCCTCCCTCACCAGATTCTCTTTTACCAGCTCTCTGTTGGCCAACGCTCAAAGGGCAACCAAAGGAAATGGTACAAAGACACACTCAAGGTTGCCCTCAAGCACGGAGGCATAGACATCAACGGCTGGGAGGAGCAAGCTGCTGACCGTTCAGTGTGGTGCCACCTGGTCCACCAAGGTGTGCATCACTTCTAGGCCCAATGACTTGATACTGAGGCAGAACGGCGGCAGCTGAGGAAGGAGGAGACCAACCTGGTGCTGCGAATCCCACTCCCCCATGCAACAACATGACCCCATTGCCGAAGAGTATGTGTATCTAGAATCGGGCCCCTCAGTCACCTGAGAACCCATCAAGCCTGATGGACTTCATCCTTGACTCCGAGGGACTGCCACTGTCGACTGATATTTGATAATAGAGACCTTTTCAGCTTAAAAGACAAAAGTCTGAAAGGATGCAATGATGAAAATTTAAAGCTAGACAAATTCAGACTTGAAAACTGATACATTTTAACTGTGAGGTAACCAACTATTAGAATAGTTTCATAAGGTTTGTGGTGGACTCTATCACTGGAAATGTTTAAATCAAGTGCGTTTTTTTCTGAAAACGTGCTCTAATCTATTTTCAGTAGAAACTAATTCAGGGAAGTCTTATATAGGAGTTGTACAGGGTTAAGCAAGAGTTCAGGCTAAGATGTTGATTATGGCTTCCTCTGTCCATACAAAGTATGAAACAGGCTTGGACTATTCAGGGAAAGGAGGTGTCTACTGTAGTTTTATTTCCTTTTATTTCTTGGAGTGTGGTCAATATTTATATTTTTGAATAAAGTCTCATATAATGCAAAAATAATTTTAGAAGTTGTTTTGTAGGACGGCAGAAGAGCTGTAGGATTGGGTTAATAAATTTCTGCTAAAATGTATTTTTCTTCATTTGAATTCTTTCTTATTTTTCCATCAAATACGTTTATTTCCTTCATTCCCTAAGACCTTGCATTGGTAGACAGTGGGGTCTGTGTAGGTGTAGAGATCTTCCTGTATGGGTCTGGCTGTGGGACTGGGACCCTGATTTGAAGATGTGTAACCCCAACTGTTCATTTGCCTAATCCTTTCTTTGTGTGCTGACAATTCTTATTTGAACTGCAAATGTATTTTTTTTTCAGATGCGCTATTCTAAATTGCTTTTCTGGGGAAAAAATCCTGAAGAGTATTGTTTGTGCGTGGGGAAATAAAACTTTGCAGATCCAGCATGACTAAGCCTCAAAGTTCTCTCCATGGATTCTTTGTAACTGATGCTTCTAATTGATTACAGGAATGAATTAAACTCTGGTCAGCATGGAGTGTTTTATTTTCTTTTATCATGCCATGGCTGATGATTACTATATGTTTCCACACACCTCATTGCTATTTAAACAAATATATTGTCAGATGTATATTTTCATGAAGAATCTGCCCAAACAGAATGTATCTGGCAACATTAGCAGTTAATTAATCCCTGACCTTGCAAGCTGTTCTGATTACAGCACATTGACTTCAGCAGATTCCAAGTGACTGCAAGGATTTGATGGCACGGAAGATATATGAAGGATCAGGGCACTGTCATAGGTACCCTAGAAATATATGAAGTAAGTTATTTAAATGATATAAATACAAGGATAATTGAAGAGGAAAAATAGGTGTGCACAAATAATTTTCATTTAAATATTTTGAACTAGAAGACCTTTAGGGACAGTGTAAAAATATAATAAATACTTTGCTAAACAGCAGTAACTGACCTTTCAAAATGGAGTTTTGGCATGTCTGTTTAAAACACAAGGAAATGACGCTCCACATATAGGTGTGGATTGAACCCAGCATTTTTATTTATTGAAACAAATTAAAACCTTTGAGCAGAGGCATAATAGCTATATGCCCTGGCCAGTGTCAGCAAGTGGGACAGTGCTGGCTGCTGTACTGCTGGTGGTGGTGGCGTGGCCAGCTGATGGCTGCAGCATCAGATTTTTTGTGCTCCTGTCTACACCCAGGGCTGCTGCACCCATTTCCCCCATGTCCCTCAGTTTCCACTACTGCCTTAGAGAAAAGAAAATAAGAGAAAGAGGAGTTTTAAAGAGAGTATGCCAGTGGGAGAACAGTGTTAGAATCTAAGTTCCTGATAATAAAAACAGAGGCAATATCACAAATCCACCAAGTTTTAAAAAAATTTTAACAAAGTGAAAACTGAAAAAACAGATTTCATAAGACGTTTACATTTTACTGGTCAGTCTTCAAAAGCTATTTTAAAAATGTCCTTTGTTGTGTATTTCATTTTAAGAATAAACATATACTGTGTTTCATTTATCTCTGGGCACATCTACATGAGATGTTTACTGCGGAGTAAATTAATTAGCTCCACAGTAAACATCTTGTGTCCACACATGTGGCCCAGTTAGGCCTCAGGATTCTAATGAATTCTGCAGCAGGATAGTACTTGTAAATACAAGTACTATCCTGCTGCAGAGTTTTTTATTGCACAGCACTGCATATGTAGATACTGATGCGGCTGGCTGGGGCACAAGGGTAGTTCAGTGAGGGGGTTGTCTGCCAGCTAGTCCCACACTGGAGTACCTTCATACCCCAGCCAGCTCCTCCACAGCACGTTGAGTTGGGCAGGAGCAGCCATAGCCTGGCAAGCTCACCCTGGGGGCCTCTGCCAGCCAGGGCTGCTCCAACCCAACTCAATGTGATAAGGTCCCAGGCACATGTTCAAATGGTGCAAGTGGGAGCAATAAACTCCAGTGCAATATGCATTGGAGTTTATTGCTTTGCATTAATTGCATGTGTAGATGTGTCCTCTGTAAAATTATTATTTATTTGACCAGTTTATAAATTCTAAATTAACCAAAGGCTTAAATCTTCAACTTTGGTTTCAAACACAACCATGACCTGAGTCTACAAGATCCTTATGGAGTAGTTTTGCTTATATAACTTGACTGGTTCTACCTCCAGAATTAATCTTTAATTTAACTGATTGTCCAAAGTATGCTTGCCTTTTGTTAATGAAAGAAATGTTAGTAGAGTCTGACAAAATACTCTTTATAATTTTTTGAGTTATTCATTTTGATACAGACAAGTAAAATATCAGTTTTCCTTACTATTCTTCAGTCAAGTATGTGAACTTTTGTGATTGGGCTGTAACTTCCAAAACTTTCAGGTTTGAAATATATTAGAAAAAAAAAATATTTTTCTTGACGAAAAAGGGAGATGACTAGAGAAATGGAACTGAGATGGTAAGCACTGGGAGCTTAAAACAGTTCAAATACTCTTTCAGAAGGAGGCTAAAACTAAAATGGAAATGTTAGCTTACTATTTAGCAAGGACTGGGAATCTGTTCATTGCAGTGAAATGCACAAAATGAAGAGATTCCAGCACCAATGGTCATATATGTTCTATAATATTTTTAGATACATTTATAAAATATGTATGTGTATATCTATATCTGAACACAAACACATGCACGCGGACACACAAAACAAAATGTAAAAAAAAAAATGACAGAACCTTTAGTAAAATCATGTGTCTAAGGGTCAAAACTGGCCCTCTTCAATCAAAGCTGCTCTTTACTTAAAGGAGTGAGACCTCAAAGCTTAAAAACTGTGAAAATGCCTAAGGAGGAACAAACAGTCATGGCTCAACAATGCAAAATGTATTTTGCTTTTATCATAAGCAAACATCAAAACTGATTAGAAAGAAATATCCTTCTGTATATGTTACATAAAGCAGAAACTGCAGTAAACAATGAGAGCTGAACGGAAGAAATAATGACATTTATTAATATATTTGTAGTTAATATAAAATCAATGTACCTATTCTATAATTAAAATAAATATGGATAAAAATGAAGAAAAGGTTTTGAAATTGAAAAGTGATATGAAAAATCATTTTGTAAGAATATTAACTATTTAAAAATTTTTCATTTGATTTTTTTCCTCTCGCTTTTACTTAAAGAAATTCTGATATAGAAAGCACTTTTGGATTAAAAAAATTAAAAAAATAAAATCTTGTTTAGTCAATATAATAAAAAAGCAGAAGAAACAAAATATTATTTTTATTAGCACCCAAAATATGAAGAGAAACAATATCCTAAAAATAAAGTCATTAACCACTATTTCAGAAAAATTCACACAGATTAAAATTATATTTAAAAACAATTATTTAAACATGTTTAATTAAAAAAATATGAATTCAATTAGCATACAAGTGGCCTCACTGATCAAAGGCATAGCAGTGGAAAATGTGCTCTAAGACAATAAATACCACAATAAAACTGTGCATAAAAATAATGAAAAATATCATAAATTTTGTTTTGTAAAACACTGGTCAAACTTTTTGGGATAAATGGAAAAATAAGAACACTAATGAAGTAAAGAAAAAACCTGAAAAAAAATCTTGAATAACTAACTGCAGGCTACATTTAGAAATCAAAAAGCAATATTACATTAGATATGGAAAATATGTTTTATATCAGATGCATGCAACTGGAATAAATAGATGCAAAATGATATAAAGTTCAGATCTTACTGCAAGGGAGTTTTTAAACTTTATAGGTTTTACCCATTCAGAAAATTATTTGGGACTGGATAGAGAAAAAATAAAAGAATATTTTTCAGTGGCCTAGAATTAAAACACAATGTTTTCTTTAAGTCCAAATGAGAAGGTGGAAACCAAACATCCTATAGAAGAAGTTTAACCATTTTTATCCTACCTAAATAGTAAGTGGTTGTTCTATTCATCAGACTCTAACGGAAATCAAAGCAGCTTGTCTCCCTTGTCCTGCTGATGTGTAGAGAGTATGGGCAAAGCTCTTGGAGTTGTTCATACTCCCCTTTGAGTGCTGAGAAGCCTGCCTCCAAGTATCACCTCCTTATGGAAAGCCATGCAGAAGCATTTGCTGTATTCTAACTGACAGAGTAATACCTGGGAGAGAGAGTCTGTTATTTCCACAGTACTTTTTCTTCTGTTGCTCCAGTGGTTATTTATTTGTTTACTGATGTTAACCTGCACCTATTCTATGGATTTGTCTCCCCTCCTCCACTCTTTTAAAGGAGAAAGTGGCAGGCTAGGGCCTGATTCAGCATATTTTAGATAAATCTTCCATTGACTTTAGTGAGAACAGGATTGGATGTTTTTGTTCTAACAATGCAGAATCATTATGTGAGAGAAACAATTAAAACGGCCTGTGGATAAAAAGTACCAAGTCCAGTAGTTCTTGTTTAGGACCCAATCCTGCAAATTTTCTGTTTATGGAATTCTTACTCACTCAGATTGGTATGATATATGCAGAGGTTTGTGGAATCAGGTCTACTGTCCTTAGGGAAAAATACAGCTAATTATAAAGAGAGTATTTTGCCTTTATAAGGGTGGGCAGGATGGTCCCAGTCATTAGCTAACTTGGCAAAAATAGTGCTACCCGGAAAAAATATTTTAATGACACTGATACGCAAATGTACAGAAATAGTTTGTTTGTTCAGACTATTTATGACATGTGGTACTGAATTTCGTGAGAAAGTCTTAGATGTAAGAGTTTATAGTTAAGAAATATTTTTGATAAGTTTGAGTTTTCCCTTCTTAATTTCCAGAGTTAACTGTATACTTTAAAAGTGTATTATTACTTCTTGTCTGCTGGTTTAGGGCCACTGTATGGCATCAATTTCTTGTACTTTATTGATTCAGCTCTGTGCATATGAAAAGACTGCAAATAGCTGCAGGATTGTGGACCAAGAGGGACATCCTGAAATCAGTGGCAAAACACCCACTGGCTTCACTGGGTGAAGGAGCAAGCCCTAACTTTTCATGCTGAGCCATCCTTATTTAAAAAAAAAAAAGAGAGAAAAAAGTAAACTGAGCAATGTAGAATGAAATGTGTCGTATGAAATAGAATCATGCCCCTTTTTCCTTCTGTATGCAAATCACTAGGGATTTATAAAACTTGTGCTCCCTTTCCAGATCTCGGAACTCGTTTACAATCAAATATTATTTGGCTGTTAAAGAAAAGAATGGGTTAATCAGTTTAGCAGTTTAGAATTTTTTTTTTTTAACAGGGCTGACAACAAATGAAGTTGTGATCCCCCCCCCCACCCCGCAAAAAAGATACAAAAATGGTGATCTGGCAATGTATGTTAACAAGACTTCACGTAAATGGAAACCATTGGGTGGGGAGAATTTCTGTTTTGGGGTTGGAACAAAAGACAAAACACTCTATACTGGAGAACTTTTAAAAATAGCAAAGTTGGAAACAGAATATTACCTCTTTATTTTCCTAATAGATATGTAATAAATGAACCATTAATGGTTCATTTATTACCATTATTACCATTATTACCATTTATGTAATAAATTGAGCCATTCCTCAAATAATATTGAGGAATGGCTATGGAAGCCCAGTACCAGTGGAACCTATGCTGTCACTTATAGTGTCATTACAATTTGAAAAAGGTTTAATTTTTTAATTTCCATTTTTTTTTATAAGCAGACTCAATATCGTAAGGACCCTAAAACAGGCCAGGCTATGCTCTTCTAGCAGATTATCATTTTGGGGAGGATTGCAAATCTTGTGTTTGTAATCCTCCCAAATGCCTGTCACAGCTGATTTCCTAAAATCTGTGCATTACTGAAAGAGTGGCTTGTAAGGACAGTCAGTACTAGCCCTATAACCTTAGCAAAAGAAGCAGCAAACTAATTTTCTCATCTAAATGCTGAATTCTCTCTTATCCCTTTTCCCCTTGTTTTTGTGACACAGAATATAAATTAGGAAACTGCAATGAATGGATGTTGTCCAAAGATATAAGGTTACATTTTGCATTGGACTCCAAATCAACAAAGTGGATAAGTACCTACTTTACCTTAAGTCTGTGAATAGTAGATTGAAGCTAGCTGGTTTACATAACTGCTTAGAATTAAGTATGTGCTTGTATACTTTGCTAAATCAAAATTCCTGTCTGCTGCAGAAGCATAGGTTTGGAGCAGTTCCATAGCTGGAGGGGGGACCGGGGGGTGGGGAGTGGGGCGACTGTCCTGGGTGCTGGAGTGAAGGGGCACCAACAGGTGCTGCTTAGCTGGGGTGGTGTGTAGGATGGAGCCACAAGTGGCTAACTTAGTGGGGTGCGGGGATGGAGGAAGGGTGGCTCCCACTGCTGTGTGCACTCCCGGGCAAGCATGGGGGGGCATGTGCCCCCCAGATCTGTGCACAGGGTGAGGGTGGGCTGCCACTGCGGCTTTTGTCCCGGGTGCCAAACTTTGTTGCTGCAGCACTAGTTTGGAGTAATTGAGTTATTACTGTTAACAAGTAATTGAGTTATTCCATGTTTATATATAACCATTGCTAGGAAACAAAATTTAGCCCAAGATAGACATTTCACAAAAGTTTAATAAATATATTGCAATGTTATATAAAGGCAGTAATTTCTGAAAATGTTCCAGAATAGGGTAATGACACAAGTGTAATCTGCTGGCATTTTAACTAGCATCATTAGAGTTTACTTTTAATTCCCTGTTGAGATGAATGGGGCAGTTCCAGCCTCTCAGAATTGTTGTTTCAGAATATGGGAGTTATTATTCAAACATTTGAATTTGAGATGGACTTGCAAACCAAAGGTCTCTGAAGTTGGTACAAAATTGTTTTAAATGCAGTTTTTTTCTTTCTTAGCCTGTAAATAGTAGTTATAGTAACATTCAAATTGTTTCAGTTTCAGATAACATGATAAACTCTGATGCCTCTTACACCTTGTTTCTTGAAAAATAGGAAGCCATTAGGGATGATCAGTATTTGTAGAAATGTAACTGGGCAGTTCTGTACCCTGGGCAGTAGCGATGCACAGGACAAAATTTGCAACTGGGCTGCCAGTGGTGGCAGTGGCAGCTGGGCCAGTATGGCTGTGTGACAGGGCACCCTAACCTTGTCACGAGGAAGAAGGTGCGCCCCTATAAGGCCAGAACCTTCTGGGCATGGAGGGCTGGTGAGGAAGGGGTTAACTGCTGAACTGGGAAGGCTAGTCAGTTGACTGGAAGAGGCAGGACTATAAAAACCCTGGGTTGAATGGCAGTAAGGAATTGAGAAGCTGATGGGGAAGCAGTGCCCCTGAGAGCTCCAAGAAGAAGTTTGGGAAGCGATCCATGACAGGAAGGAGGAAGCTACGGAAGCCCCTGCGAAATGACGACTGCATCCAGAGACAGGACTGTAACCGGTGGTGCAGAGCTGAGACTCGAAGAGAGTTCATGTAAGCTGACCTGCTGCATTGATTGAGCATGTGCAGTTATTATTATAGTGTTTTTGGGATTATTGAATAAGGCTGGAGGTTTGGGTGAGGCTATTAGGGGACAGAGGAGGCCTTATTTTTGGGGACCCACTCCAGAGTGGGAGCTCCAGTTCCAGTGAGGGCGCAGCAAGACAGGGCTGTGGAGAGCCCGAGTGCCAGTAAGGGTGCAGTTTTGGGATGATCTTAAAAAGGCCAGGGAGGCCTGGTGCACCTGCAGGTGCAAGTATATATTCTTTCTGTTATTTGGACTGGGGGTGTCACACCCTGGTTTTGAGCTTGCAACCCCCTGGCTGTGGGGCCAGTACCCATGCCTCTGGACTGGTGAGTGCCATGCTCTGGAAGGGAGCAAAAAGGGGGCCATGAGCCTCCAGGCACTGGAAGGAAAAGCTAGAGCCTCGGAGTTGAACCCTGTTTAGTGGGTTTGGATGTTGACACCTAGCTAGAGGAACAGGGGTCAGGACATCCTAGGAGAGACACCAACATTCCCAATATAATAGGCAGTCTCCCACTCGCATAATAATTTCCATCAAGACATGGCAGGCGAGATTAGGGTGAAACAGAAGAATTCCAAGAGGGCTCCAAGGGTGCCCCACGTAAGGCGTGGATGACCAGGAAGATGACGCTGGGGAGGGCTACCTGTTACACTGGTGCATTGGCTGGGAAACTCCTCACGGTCATGGGTACCCTGAGACGATGGTTGATCCAAGTGATAGAAAGAACCCTTGGGTTCAAGAATAAGACAGGAATGGCAGAACAGAACCCCATTTTGGATTTAAAGGAACAACAACTGGGGTTGAAACCAGCAGAAAGACAACAGACATTGATAGAGAAGGTGGTGAAGGAAATGCTGAGAACCAGCTTTCCCCATGGGCATTTGTGGGTACGGTGCAAGGGGTTACTTGGAACCCAGAGAGGAAAAGACCAGCACTGACTATAGACGTTAGGCTTGAGGGACAGAAAGTCCAGGCAATGTTGGATTCCGGTTCATCCTACATGATAGTGCGGAGAGATGTTTTACCAAGAGGAGACAGAGAAAGGGCAGACCGAATCACCATTCAATGTTTGCGCGGGGAGGCACAAAAAATGGACTGGGTGTGGGCTACTGTGCAAGTGGGTAGGAAAGTACGCCGAATGAAGGTCGGAGTGGTGGAGCACTTACCTTACCCAATGACACTAGGATGTGATTGGCCGGAGCTCCTCGCAGCTATAGTGCAGGCATTCAGATATAGAAGAGGCAAGGAAAAATGGAGGTACTCCATAGTGCTACCCTAGTCCCACTAGGGGGAAAACCTTGGAGGAGAATTCAGGGGTAGGAGAAGGTCCCAGTGGGATACCACTTGGGACAAAGAGAAGAGGGTGCAAAACCGCGAGGTCCACGATGGTCCTGGGGAATGATTTTACAGCAGAGGCCTTTGCCGGGTAGCCTGGACTTCCCCTAACAGAAGAAGCAGCAGAACAGGAGGTGGACGTAGCACATTTGTGGGAGGATGAACATTTCCGACTAGAAGAGAGCGGAGAAGAAGGGTTTCGACATGCCTTCCAAG